ATATTTTTAATGATTATTATTATTATTATTATTAAACAAGGCTGGGAAGAGTAGCTCCAATTCATTGAATCAAGATCCCCTCACTACTACCATGGCACTACTTTCCCTTTAAAAAAAAGACACTGTCTTCGTTGCAAGTTATTGCAATGATAGAGTTATGATAGTTATTCATGAGGCTGTTGCAGGAGTGAGTTAAGGTTTTTGTGAACGTAAACCCTTAGGGTTAATGGTCATGGTTTATGTACCTTGAGGTTTTTATGGGGCCGTAATATTTAAAGACCTTAGTGGGAGCACAATCAATTTGGTCTGGGTAATTATGTTGGAATGGTCTTCCTCAGTGGTCTTACCCAGTGTTCTTTTTCGGTGGTATTCCCCGGTGGTCTTCCCCATTGGCTTTCTCAGTTGATCTTCCCCAGTGGTCATCCCCAGTGATCTTCCGAAATGGTTTTCCCTTGTGGTCTTTCCCAGTGGCCTTCCCAGTAGTCCTCCCCATTGGTCTTCCCCAGTGGTCTTTCCCATTGGTCTACCCCACTGGTCTTCCCTAGTGGTCTTCATCAGTGGTCTTCCTCAGTGGTTTCCCAGGGGCATCTAAGGGGCTATCATGGGCTTCAAAGATCACCCGAGAATTCAAAAGGGAGAAACACGAGGGGTCTAATGGTTGCTTTGAGGGATCCTGTCAACGGTGTTAAAGGCTCAGAGCTTTGATATCCTGTCACGGTGAAAAGAGCATTGAAAACCCTGTCAACGGGTTAAGGCATTGAAGATCGTCAAGGTTTTAAAGACTTGAGACCCTTTGTCAACGGTGCTAAACTTTGGGACCCCTGTCAACGTTTAAGAGAATTGATGATTTGTCACGGGGTTTGTTGCGAGCTTTTGACAATTAAGTCGAGGTGTTAGAGCGTGATGTTATTCAGTGGTGGTGTTGGGCATTTGATCCTTTTTAAGGGTGTTGAGAACTTTGGTCCTGTGAACGGTGTTGGAGCTTGATGACCCGTCAACGGCTAAGACCATTGGTGACCCTGTCAACTTTTTTTAAAGCTTTGATGACTTGTCCCCCGGTGTTGCGGCTTGACAATTAAGTCGAGGGGTGTTAAGAGCATTGATGTTTTATGTCTGGTGGGTTGAGAGCATTCATGATCCTTTTAAAGGGGTTTTGAAAACATTGATGATCCTGTAACGGTTTTGAGAGCATTGATGACCCTGTAAAGGGTGCAAAGACATTGATGACCCGGGAAGGGGTTTTGGGGGGGAAAAAAGGGGGCATTTGATGTCCTGTAACGTGTTGAGAGCTTTTGTCCGTAAAAAGGTGTTTAGAGCTTGGCTCCTGTCAAGGGTGCTGAGGCTTTATGATGCTACAGCGGGCTGCGAGTATTGGATTATTCGATGGTTTGGACATTGCGGTTATGTAAAAAAAGGTGTTGAAAACTTTTGGACCTGTAAACGGTGTTGGAGATTGATGACCTGTCAAGGGTGTTGAGGCATTGTCCTGTCAAAGGTGTTGAGAGCTTTGATAATTCAACGGTGCGCGGTGTTTGCCGCGTTGATGATCCTGTCAACGGTGTTGGAGTGTTGATGCCCTTAAAGGGTGTTTTGGGGGCATTGATGTTTCTGTCACGGTGTTGAGGCATGACGATTATTTTTGGGGTTATGCAATAATGGGTGTTAAGAGAATCAGATCCGTTAGGGTGTTTGAGAACTTTGATAATCCTGTCAAGGTGCTGAGGCATTGTGACCCTGTCAACGGTGTTGCGAGCGTGATGATCCTTCAACGGTGTTGCGAGCTTTGAAAATTTTAAAAGGTGTTGGAGCATTGATGATCTTGTCAAGGGTTGTTGAGACATTGTGATCTGTCAACGGTGTTAGAACTTTGTGCCCTGTCAACGGTTTTTGAGAACATTGATGTCTGTCAACGGTGTTGAGAACTTATGGTATTTCATCATTTCTAAAGAGAAAAAAAAAAGCGTTTTTTAATTTCAGCTTTCTATTTCAGTATAATTAAAACCTGTTGTTAATTAGTAAAAAATGATGAAATAATAAGACTGAATAATTTATGCAACCTGAATAATTTTACATCAAATAATTATCAATCAGTCAGAATAATTATAATATATATTATATATTATATTATATATTATATATTTTTGTGTGTTGGGGGGAAATAATTAGCTGGAAAATAAGCGGTTGTGAATCATTTTTCAAAATGTGGCAGGCCAGGATTCGACCCCACGACCCTTTTCACGCTCAAGAACAACCCCAACTACGGTCACCCTAGCCACCGCCATCGATCTAAAAACATGAGTTTAGGAACAGACTGTTTCATGTTTATGTTGTGTTTTTTTTCTTCTCTCTATTTTCTCTCTCTTTCTCTCTCTCTCTCTCTCTCTCTCCTCTTTCTCCTCTCTCTCTCTCTACCCTTTTTTTTACAAGAGCTCTTCGTCCCCCCCAAACGAATTTTTTTCAACTTTTTCTCACGCTTTTGATTTTTTTTCCTGGGGGAATCCTTTTTTTAAACCGGATTTCCTTTAAAGTCGCTAGGATTTTCCTTCTTTTCGAGAAAATAATAAAATATGAAGTAAAAATTATAATATTATTTAATTATTTTTAACGTCACTTTGGGTACTCGATTTTTGCCCCCTTTCAAAGTAAAATCAACATTTAGCGTTTTACTGATGATCAAGGTCGTTTTTTGGTCAAAACCCCATTTTTCAAGGGCCTCTTTGTAAAGATCCCCATTTTTCGTGCGTTCTTGGTCAAGACCACATTGTTCAAGGTCCCTTCTGGTCAAGATCACGTTGGGCAAAGTCGCTTTTGGTCAAGGTCCCCTTTGTGATAATGGTTCGGAAGACTGTTGATAAATTAGAAACCCTGTGCAACTTGGGGATCTTTTTTTGAGGAAAATTTCGCCACACAGTGGCTTCTCATCCATAAAAGGAGAATCTTTAAGAAAGGAGGGAATGAGGTATCAGTCCCCCAACCTTGGTCGATTGGGGCGTCCCTCAAACTTTAATAGAATCGGCATACGTGTGGGAAAGGGGCTTATAAAAACCTTGGCAGGAGAGGTGCAGCAGTCATAGGTCGTGCATTTGTTCAATTTGAAGAGGGGGCGTGCCAAAAGTTGCCGTGTTAATTTATCAACATGTCGGGTTTTCTGAAACCCTTTATCCAAAACCCGTCGACACTGCAACTTCTTGGGATCTTAATATTTGGGGAAATTTTTTCGCTTTCCTAATTCTTGGGCACAAACCCATTCAACATTGAACAAAAGTTACACGCCTATGATGCTGCAACCTCCTGCCAACGGTTTTATAAGCCCCTTCTCAGCACGTATGCCGTTTTCCCTGTTCAAGATTGATGGACTGACCACATCGACTCAAGGTTGAGGGACTGATTACCTCATTCTCTCCTGTTCTTCAAGATTTTTCCTTTGTATGGAGGGATAAAAGCCATGGTGGCGAAACGTTCCTCATAAAGATACCCAGAGTTGCACATGTGTCTAATTTATCAAGGTCCCCATTGAAGGTCGTGCTTGGTCAAGATCCACATTGATCAAGGTCGTCCTTGGTCAAGATCCACATTGATCAAGGTCGTCCTTGGTAAAGATCCAAAATTGTTTCAAGGTCGTCCTTGGTCAAGATCCACATTGGTCAAGGTCGTTCTTGTTTAGATCACATTGGTCAAGTTTGTGTAGGAAATCTGAAGCCAAGTCAAGAGTGCCTGAGTTGTGCGCAATACGGCTAACAGATTACTTGGATTTATATCAAAAAGTATAAGTAACAGGAGTCCAAAAGTTATTTATTGCCCCAAATTCCTCACTTAGATTATGCTGCTCAGTTTTGGCCGCAAGGGTTCGGTGACGGTCCTCAAAGCTGGGGGTTTTGGGCTTCAAGGTTCTTGCGTGAAGGTCCTGTATGAAAGTTATTGCTTAAGGGTTCTTGCATGGTGAAAACTAACATGAGTGTAGCATGGTGCGCTTTCCCCAGTTTTCAGAGTTATAACTTGAGCAGGAAGGTGTGGCCCGGGCCACACGGGAAAACCGAGCCGGTATTTATGATAATGGAGGGTATAAAGGGTTTTATTTACGTTGCTGTGGCTTGTGCAATGGAGATGTGATTATCTTGGAGTACAAGGTGGGAGTTGTGTGTGGAGTACAGGGTGTGGAGTAGTGTGTGGAGTACAGGGTGTGGAGTAGTGTGTGGAGTAAGGGTGTGGGTAGTGTGCGGAGTACAGGGTGCCTAAAACACACCCTCTACAACACACCCTCTACATCACACCCCCTGCCCCAACACACCACCTGCAAACACCACCTGCAACAAAACCAACCTGCAACACACCATACAACACACCACCTGCAGCAAACCACCTGTAACACACCACCCTTTAAACCCCACCACTTGCAACACACCACCTGCAATACACCACCTGCAACACACCCTCCACAAACACACCATCTACAGCACACCCTTACAACACACACCACCCATTACACGCCATCTACAACACACCATCTACAAAACTGAGCGGTAACTGAAGGATAATAAAATGGGTAATATATTTACACACACAAAAACATACAAAACACACACACACACACACACACACACACAACACACACACACACAAAACCACACACACACCACACACCCCACGTCTCCACAATATACCCCGTGTTGTGTCACCATGTCGTCATCTCCAGCGTGTTCTTCCCACAACACGCTTGGTCTAGCTAATCTTATTTCCAGGAGAAGGGACACGCCAACCTAGTCTCTGAATTTACATAAACATCCGTTCTATCTTACCCCCCTTCGTCCATCCTAGCATATACAAGGTAATATACTATATGCTGTAGAAAAGTGATATGTGCGTGTTTTTGCCGGTGGTGGATGATGTATTAGACCAAGTATTGTTATAAACTAGGCTCTCCTGGGAAAAGATTACTCTCTGACGAAGGCACCGGTTGAGGAACAAGACTTTACTGGGACAACGTTTCTCTGTGAACAGACCTTAGTCAAGTCGTGGTGGAGATTTACACAGAGCGAGATGCTCCGCACTAAAGTTTGTTCCCGAGCCTGTCTCTTTTCTTCGTCAAATTTTGAAGATGCTGCAAAAAAGAGATAAGAGAATAAAAAGTAACAATACCATTGCTGGAACAATTCAACACAAACCCCACATTTACGATAGGATCCCCATGACGACGTTTCGGTCCCTCCTGAACCATTATGACAAGACAGTGATCCAGAAGGGACCAAAATGTCGCCATAAGGTTCCTCCTCTCCTAAGTGCGGGTTTTAAGAGAATAAAATCGACATATCAACAAAAGGAAGAATCATAAATGGTGATAATCTTCCTCAAATATTGACTTGGAAAAGTTTGGCTTCCAAACCAAATGTTCTGCCATTGTTTCTGTTTTTTTTTTATCTTGCACCTTCCCTGACTCTTAGGGCTAATGACCTTGTTCCTCTGACATTAATGGCGTGGTTACTATGCTTTAAGGTTATTACTCTCGTGATACAATCAGAATATTAATATGGGCAGACCTGTTCTCCAGCACTGTGCGTGTTAAATGGTTCAGGATAGAGCGAAACGTCGCTCTATTTATAATGGTTTCGACCCTCCCCAGATAAACAAGGCCAATTTTTCAAATTTCACTGAAATTGATGTGTAACATCAATTTGTTTACAGTAGAAGCGTGACAGCACATGTTACATTCCGACAGGTACGCTACATGTATGCGAACGTTTATACGACGGTTATACAAGAGTAAGACTTGTTTATGACGTGATAGCACTAAGTACAACCGTGTGGCGTGTTGAAAAGCCTTGCAACAATAACATTGTTGCAAGGCTTTTCAACACCCTCCGTTCAACAACAGCTGTCAATATCAGCCTGGCAGCATCAATCTGGCATCATTAGCCTGGCAACATCCGCTTGGCAACACCAGCCTGGCAACATCAGCCTGGTAACACCAGCCTGGTAACACCAGCCTGGAAAACACCAGCCTGGTAACACCAGCCGGGTTTCACCAGTGCAACCAGCCTAGCAACACAGCCTGGCAAAACCTCCTAGCAACACAGCCTGGCAACACCAGCCTGGCAACACCAGCCTGGCAACACCAGCCTGGCAACACCAGCCTGGCAACACCAGCCTGGCAACACCAGCCTGGCAACACCAGCCTGGCAACATCAGCCTGGCAATATCAGCCTGGCAACATCAACCTGGTAACACCAATAACAGCTAGTTGAATCAATAATGGGTTAGATCCAAGTCTGAATTACCGATGATCTAGGGGGTAAGAGGGTAGGGGAGAAAGGAATAGAGGGGTAATGGGTAAGGGAATAAGGGACGGACGGAGGGGAAGAGGTGATGGAACAGCGCCAGAGAAAATATTGGGCAAGCTAAAAAAAAATGCAGACCTTTATTTATCTTTTGGGGAAGGGGAAAGAGGGGAGGGGGTTATAGAGGGAGGGGGAGGAGGGGAGACGAAAGGGGGGGAGGCGCAAGGGAAGTTGGGGGAGGAGAATTTAATTGATTGGAGGGTTTAAATGACTGACTTCACGGTCCCTGCTCGGGCGGTGGCCCGGAAATCCTCTCAGCTGACGAATGGACTGACGGATGACTGACAAATGGATGACGAATGGGCTGACAGTTAGGCTGACGGGTGCAATGCGGATGGCTGACTATGGACTCACGAATGATGACCTGACATATAGATGACAGGTGGGCTGACAGATACCTCAAAGATGGCTGATGTTTGGGTTGACACATCTCTTGACGGGAAACCCTTTAAACGGTAGCTAACTTTGGGCTGACGGCTGACCTGACAACTGACTGACTGACTGACTGACTGACTGACTGACTAACTAACTAACTAACTAACTAACTAACTAACTGACTGACTGACTGACTGACTGACTGACTGACTGACTGACTGACTGACTGACTGACTGACTAACTAAAACAAACTAACTAACTAACTAAACTGACTGACTGACTGACTGACCACATCTGAGACATTCGCTGACGTTTGTTGCAGTCTTAATCCACAAAATTTTTTAACCTACACGAAAATTAAAAAATGAAAATAAAATATTTTGTAAAAAAAAAATCTTGTCATATTTAAAGCAAATGGAAGCCGTAGCTCCAGCTCCTTGGATCAAGAGCCCTTCACCACCTTTCAAGGTGCCCATTTCTCCCCCTTTTCAAAGTCTAAAATCATGAGTTATTAAAGAAGAAATTACATTCCTAATAGACCGGAAAATTCACTGATTCATCATAGATTTTTTTTTTATTTTTGTTAATAAAAAAAAACAACAACTTATCACTGTCGTATTGTCGAGTATTTTCTAATTAATTATTATTCGTTTTTTAAAGAGTATTGTTGGTAATGTTTTTTGACCTAAATTTCTATTAAAACTTTAAAAATTATGTTGAACAAGCTACTGTTCCTGTCTCCTTTTACAATAATAATTATAATATAATAATAATAAAATAAAAATGTAATAATAATATAATAATAATAATAATAATATAATAATAATAATGTTTCTGGTCAAGTGTTGCAACAATAAGGAATAATTTCAAGTATGTTAGTAACACTCAGTACAGCTCATATAAAGAGTTCGGCAATTTACAAAGGAATTTAAGCAGTCTTAACCTAACCTAATCTAATGAAAGTTAACATAACCTAACCTAATGAAAGTGAACATAACCTAGCCTAATGAAAGTGAACATAACCTAGCCTAATGAAAGTGAACATAACCTAGCCTAATGAAAGTTAACATAACCTAGCCTAATGAAAGTGAACATAACCTAGCCTAATGAAAGTTAACATAACCTAACCTAATGAAAGTTAACATAACCTAACCTAGTGAAAGTTAACATAACCTAACCTAATGAAAGTTAACATAACCTAACCTAATGAAAGTTAACATAACCTAACTAATGAAATTAACCTACCAAACCTAATTTAAAGTTAACATAACCAACCTTTGTGAAAGTTTTAAAATACCTAACCTAAGAAAGTTAACAACAACCTAACCTAATGAAATTAACATAACCTAACCTAATAAAGTTAAAAAACCTAACCTAATGAAAGTTTAAAATAACCCAACCCAAAGAAGTTTCATAACCCAACCAAGAAGTTAACATAACCCAACTAATGAAAGTTACATAACCCCAACCTAGTGAAAGTTAACAAACCTAACCTAAGAAAGTTAACATAACCAAAATAATGAAAATTAAATAACCCAACCCAATGAAAGTTACATAACCTAAAAACCCAATAAAATTAAATAACCAACCTGTGAAAGTTAACATAACCAAACCCCCAATGAAAGTTAACAAACCCAACCTAATGAAATTAAAAATAACCTAACCTAAAAAATAACATAAACCAACCAATGAAAGTTAAATATCCCAAACCCAAAAAAAGTGAACATATCCTAGCCTAATAAAGTAAATATCCCAGCCTAATGAAAGTTAAATAACCCACCTAATGAAAATGAACATATCCTAGCCAAATGAAAGTTAACGTAACCTATTGAAAGTTAACGTAACCTACTGAAAGTTAACCTAACCTAATGAAAATTAACCTAACCTATTGAAATATAACCTATCCTAACCTAATAAAATCTAACACCCATGGAAGCTGGGATAAGACAAGTTAGTCATGTAGAGCCTGGGAAATAGGAGGTAATTAATTTAGATCCAAGGAAGTGGAGGATAGCCCCAAATCCTTGAGTTAAGTGCCCATCACTGTCATCAAGAATGGGTTAGCTTTAGCGTCTTTGCCCTTCCCAAACTCTGGAGGTCACTGGCTATTTGACCCCGAGCTATGAACTATATACCCGGGTCAACTCTGTGAGGAGCGTTAAAATGTTAGTGTACTCTTGTAGCGCCAGTTGCTGGTATCAGGATCTGCAAACATGCAGTCAGGCTCGACAGGAGAAGAACTTGAGCTGGATGCTGAAATCATTATCCGCAAGCACACAGTCAGTATCTGCAGGAGATGAACATGACTTGGGTGCTGGAGCCAGTATCTGCAAAAGTTCATGAAAATGAGCTGGATGCTGGAATCAGGATCTTCAAGATATGCACACAACTCAGATGTTTCATTAAACTACTGCATGTCTCCGGTGCTGTTAATTTGAGACGTTCCCAGACTTACTGACGACTACTCACCTCACATAGAAAGGCTCTTCTTAACCACGCCAGTGCCCTGCCACGGACGTTCAGATCAAGTACAACTCTTCTTGTCTCTATCTCTTCTACCACGGACGGTTCTAATAAGCTAAGAATTGTTCTCTTTTTCAAAGCTTTTAAAGGCTAAAGAGGCAAATGCATCATTGGTTATTTACTCCAAGAATATGAATATTCGTGAAGATCTACTATGATGTGTGTGTTATCAATTAGGATAGCAGTGTTCGTGAAGATTACACGAAAGTCTAAGCTTCTAGACCCCGGTACAGGTTACTAGACAAGTTCCCAGGCAGGGTACAAGTTCCCAGACAGGCTACAAGAAAAGATCCCAGGTAAGGTACAAGTTCCCAGGCAGCCTACAAGAAAAGTTCCCAGGCAGCCTACAAGAAAAGTTCCCAGGCAGCCTACAAGAAAAGTTCCCAGGCAGCCTACAAGAAAGGTTCCCAGGCAGCCTACAAGAAAAGTTCCCAGGCAGGCTACAAAACAAGTTCCCAGGCAGGCTACAAAACAAGTTCCCAGGCAGGCTACACGACAAGTTCCCAGGCCAGGTACAAGATCCCAGGCAGGCTACAAGACACGCTTCCAGGCAGGCTACAAGACAAGGTCCTACGAAGGCTACAAGAAATGCTCCCGGACAGGCTACGAGACACTCCCGGACAGGCTACGAGACAGACTCCGGGGCTGGCTACGAGACAGACTCCGGGGCAGGCTACCACCAAGACTTGGCTTGCAGCGCAGGTCGGAACGGCGAGAGTTTCCGGTGTGCAGACAACCTGGAGTCGCGGGCTCAAGGCCGCCCACCAGCTCCTGGAAGGCGACACATGGGCGCCCTGTTTAACTGCAGCAGGGAAACCTACTTACCCGCCGCCCTGCCGCCCACCACTACCTCCACCACCACTACCAGCACCATTCAAGACTTATTAAAACTCTACATCGAGCGAAACGGTGCCCCAGTGAAAACTTGCTTTTTACCTACCAAGATGGCGAAGGACAACGTCCCGAATGATTTCAAGAGCAGATTCGATGGATTCCGATGTTATTACTGTAGCCAGAGGGTCTGAATCCGTTTTCTTATTCTGAATGTAAACTTGTCCAGGGACCTCAGAAAACAAAGCATGAAAACACGCATTTATCGTCCGTGCTAGAAACGTAACCAAAGATGTAAACGAAATACAACAGAGGCCACAAATGCCTGGCCAGAAGGCCAGACTCTCTTTACATATCATCTTTAGCCAGATATCAGCACATACGAGAGCTCCTGTGAACGAATTCTTTATATTTTTAATAAAATGGTAATTGTATATTTCGTAAATGTCCACTAAATACTTGCTCTTAGTACAGAATTTTACGCTTTGTAGTTTCCAGTTTATTTGCTAATAGGCCTGATGAACACAAGGAAATTAAAGTATAAGAATAGTAGAATACTTTAGTAGGCCTATTGCACCATGCTAGGCAGGTCCAGCCCACACCAAGTCGTACCCACTCGTGAAACTGTCAGACCTATTTTTAAAGTTACTCAAAGTTCTCGTTTTAATGCCTCAACTTGGGAGTTTCACTCATCTACAATGAGAACAGATGTTTTCTTAAACGTTGTTACAACGACTATATTCACCCTGTAATTGCTAGAACGTTACACACCCCACTTAGCACTAGAGATATCAGAAAACAACAAAAATGTAATGAGCAGATTATTGACAAACTGGAAGCGAACTCTATACAGGGATTCAAAATCTTTAAAGTCCAGGATTATTTTACTTCCGTCGTTGTAAAGTTACACAAAGTACAAGTCTTGTTTCAGAGTGTTTAGAGGCGTTTGTTGAGATATTTTATATTTTAGCTAAAATATTCATATAAATAACAGAATTGATATCAAGGCTAAAACAATAACATATATAGTGTATACACATATGCTATCACATAAATACATCAATTAAACGTCAGAAAACGCCTCAGAGCAGATGGTTTTAACACCCATTTTATTACTTATATTCTTACTGTAGCTTTAAATCCATATATATAAAAAAAAAACACACAGTCGAGGCACTTTTTGGACACCTTGTGTTGCACACACACAGTTTACTTATGCACAGTTACATCAGGAGATAGAAACAATCCCTAGACTAATTTACAGGAGTTTATTCGCTGTGGATATTAGCTTCATCTGTATACAGTAGCTGGCTAGTGATATCCAGTTTCGGAAAGATTTTGATGTCTGTGTCAATCTTGGAAACTTGGCACTACTCCCGCACCTTCAGTGCTTGGGCGGCGACACACGGGCGCTTCTTTACCGGTGCCGGCGGCCGGGTAGTGAACCCGGTGCCGGCGACCGTGTGTATGAGTCGGGTAGTAAATTTGGTGCCAGCGACCATGTGTGTGTGTGTGTGTGTGTGTGTGTGTGTGTGTGTGTGTGTGTGTGTGTGTGTGTGTGTGTGTGTGTGTGTGTCGGGTAGTGAACCCCGTGCCAGCGACCATGTGTATATGTGTATGTGTGTCGGGTAGTGAACCCCATACCAGCGACCATGTGTGTCTCCAAGAACATAATGTGCCAGGATATGAGCTTGGGTACAGGATATATACACACTGAGGTGTATATCTCTCAGTATATATATAGTGGGAAGTGTATGTCTACAATGCATATACACCGAGAGTTTCCTTTAATCCCTATTTAAGGTATTAAATTATTCTTGGCTGGTGGTGAAGAGGTGACATGCAACCTTAATGACCCTCGTGTGGTAGATAATCTTTAAGCTCGATTGACCAAATAAAAAGATCTTCTTCCAAGGAGCTTTAGCTACTCTTGCCTTCCTCCGATTAAACAGCTCCTTGTGAGCGAAATACTCCCCCCCCCCCCATTGAGTATTACAGTTTGCAATACTTCTCCTCCTGGGTTATACAGCATGCAGTACTTCTCCTGAGTTATACGGCATGCAATATTGTTTGATAATGGTGAGACAAGAAAAGCTTGATGGTGTTGTGATAGTGACTGTGCTATTAGGAATTTTATCATGGCAATGTTTCGTCTGCAGGAATGAATGTACACATACACATACACACACACACACACACACACACCACACACACACACACACACACACACACACACACACACACACACACACACACACAATATATATATTATATATATATATATTATATATATATATATATATATATATATATATAATATAAAATATTCCTATTGGTAAAAAAAAATTTATTAAAAGATGCGGTGGTATGGGGTAGTGGAATATTCAAACGGCTTCAGGAAGAAATCCAAATATTCTTCCACCTCTCTCTCTCTCTCTCTCTCTCTATATATATAATATATATATATTATAATATATATTATATATATATATATATATATATATATATTATATATATATATATATATATATATTATATTTATATATATAATTAAAAACACATCGGCCGTTTCCCACCAATGCAGAATTACTCAAAAAAGAAGAAGCGCTTTCACCATCATTCACTCCATGACTGTCTTGCCAGAGACGTGCCTACACTAAAGTTATTAAACTGCAACATATCAACACTCCTCCTTCAGAGTTCAGGCACTGTACCTCCCACCTCCAGGACTCAATTCCAGCCTGCCAGTTTCGCTGAATCCCTTCATAAATGTTACCTTACTCACACTCCAACAGCATGTCAAGTTATAAAAAAAATTGTCTTCACTCCTATCTAACACGCTCACGCACGCTTGCTGGAAATCCAACCCCCTCACTCACAAAACTTCATTTACCCCCTCCCTCCAACCTTTCCTAGGCCGACCACTACCCCGCCTTTCTTCCACTACAGATTTATACGCTCTCCAAGTCATTCTATTTCGCTCCTTCCTCTCTAAATGTCCGACCCACCTCAATAACCCTTCCTCCGTCCTCTGGTTAATGCTTTTAGTAACCACGCACCTCCTCCTAACTTCCAAACTACGGATTCTCTGCATTATATTCATACCACACATTGTCATCAGACAAGACGTCTCCACTGCCTCCAGCCTTCTCCTTGTTGCAACATTCATCACCCATGCTCCACACCCATGTGAGAGCGTTGATATAACTATACTCTCATACATTCCCCTCTTTGCTTCCATGGACAAACCTCTTTGTCTCCACAGACTCTTCACTGCACCACTCATCTTTTTCCCCTCATCAGTTCTGTGATTAACCTCATGTTTAATATACCCATCTGCTGACACGTCCACTCCCAAATATCTGATTATATTCACCTCCTCCATACTCTCTCCCTCCAATCTGATATCCAGTCTCTCATTACCTATTTTTTTTGTTATCCTCATAACCTTACTCTTTCCTATAATCACTTTTAATTTCCTTCTTTTACATACCCTACCAAATTCATCCACCAATCTCTGCAACTTCTCTTCAGAATCTCCCAAGAGCACAGTGTCATCAGCAAACAGCAACTGTGACAACTCCCACTTTGTGTGTGATTCTTAATCTTTTAACCCCACACATCTTGCCAACACCAGAGCATTCACTTCCCTTACAACCTCAATTTATTAAATATATTGAACAACGATGGTCACATCAAACATCCTTGTCTAAGACCTACTTTTACTGGGAAATAATCTCTCTCTCTCTCCAACATATTCTAACCTGAGCGTCACTATCCTCGTAAAAATCCTTTTCTGCTTTCAATAACCTGCCTCGTATTCCATACATTTGCAACATCTGCCAAATTACTCCCCTATGCACCCTATCATACGCCCTTTCTAAATCCAAGATATATATATATATATTAATATATATATATATATATAAATTATATTATATATTATAAAATATATATATTATATATATATTATATATTTAAAACAATTCCTCTTGTCTTTCTGTTCATTTTTCACTATTTCTTTTCAGTCTTTTCTTTTTTTTAATATTTTTTCCTGCTTATAGTGCTTTTAATTCTTTCTTTTACCGAAGTACTTTCATTTTTTTTATTTAACTTCTCCTCTCTCCTCCTTCATCATTTTTTATCTCTTTGTCGTGAAAGTTCTCAAACTTTTACCCAAACTTGCCAATAAAAGGCGTCGTTAGCGAGTCATTAATTCCGTTATTTTGTCTATACTTTTGTAGTGACCATCTTCTTAATAATAATAATAATAATTATACTAATAATTATATTATTATCAACATCATCATCATCATATAAGTACAGGACCCTCAATGAGCCCTCATCTGTACAGAAAATTGTAATAGTTCAAAAGATTCTCTGTCTCTTTATCTGTCTGTCTGTGTCTCTCTCTCTCTCTCTCTCTCTCTCTCTCTCTCTCTCTCTCTCTCTCTCTCTCTCTCTCTCCTCCTCCCCTCTCTCTCTCTCTCTCTCTCTCTCTCTCTCTATTCTCTCTCTCTCTCTCTCCTCTCTCTCTCTCTCCCTCCCTCCCTCCTAATACTAGACAAACGTGTAGTTAACCTGGTTAGCTTTGCTTGTTCCTCTAGTAATATCGTCATAAACAAATTATAACGAACTTTACCAAGAGTTCACGTATGACTGCTACATCCTCCCTAATTCTCCCTTCCCTTCCTTCCTTCCTTCCTTCCTTCCTTCTTCCTCCCTCCTTCCCTTCTTCCTCCCTCCTTCCTTTCTTCCTCCCTCCTTCCTTTCTTCCTCCCTCCTTCCCTTCTTCCTCCCTTCTTCCTCCCTCCTTCCTTTTCCTCCCTCCTTCCTTTCTTCCTCCCTCCTTCCCTTCTTCCTCCCTCCTTTTTTCCTCCTCCTTCCTTTCTTCCTCCCTCCTTCCTTTCTTCCTCCGTCCTTCCTTCCTTCCTCCTTTCCTCCCTTCCTCCCTCCCTTGCTTCCTTCCTTCCCTTTCTTTACCCAGTAAGTTTCCCCCTTTTTACCACTATTTTTCGCCCTTATCCTTCCTTCTCTTCATTGTTTATAAGGTAGTGTTATTGCCTATTAGGTGGTGTTATCTATCAGGTGGTGTTATTGTCTATCAGGCGGTATTATTATCTATCAGGTGGTGTCATAGTCTATCAGGTAGTGTTACTATCTATAAGGAGATGTTACTATCTATCAGACAACAATATGTTATACAGGGTAATGTTAATAAATGCACTCTCTACGATCTTGTCTCCATTTCCATTCATACTTCTGGTA